TCCCTTTCTCAATGACCGAGCTTAGTCCCCATTGACTATCTGCCTGAAAACATTTTCAACTCTTGAGTTTCTTAATAATTAAAATGATTCCCAGATGAATGTGCCTGAATGTCAATAACTCCATCTTTTGTTAATGTTCATGGACTTGTTTACTTTTTATAACACAATAGGTAGTTTAGAATCATTTAACTATGTCTGCTGCTGAATATTTAGTAATGAAATAATGTATAATGGTATTAGGATTTAATTAATGGGCTATAGTTAATGGATTTAATGCTCAGCCTTCTCATATAGTTCAAAATTTTGGGTCTAACTGTGGTATATTTCTTATTTAGTAGGAAATATTAAGCACAGTGATGTTTTCTTAAGATCAGACACTGTGAAAAGGGTGAGAAATATCTTGAAATGCTGTTTGGATACTATATTTTCAGTTGTTTTATTGATTGATGTTAATGGAGACAGTTGTGTAACACATTTCCTTATTGTGCCCAGAAAAACTTAGTGGCACTATGAGTAAGCTATGGGAAAACTTAGAAAGATTAAAACTATGTTTTCTACAGTTATAAGGTCAACATTTCACATAATGGAGAACTGTATCCTGTTGTTATAATTATGAAACCTTTCTTATATTTAAAATATAAATGCCATATTTGTGATTTTTACTATTTTAGCTGAAAATTGTAGGTCACTTTCCCATCCTAAAACATTAAAGGGCTTTATATATTAGTTTCATGTGTGCTATTTAAATACTGTGAATTCTTATTTTCCGGTTCTACAAAGAGACAATAATTTTAAGGAAGTCTTTTTCATCCTTCATCAAAAAGTACTTATTCCATTACTTGATATACAGATGCAGTTGTGACATAAAATTGGCAGAAAACATGCCAAGTCTTTTTTTCTTATTTTTTTTCTCATTCAGGAAGTTCTCACTTTGTTCTTAAAATAAATCTCATCTTTGAGGTTTGAAAAACAAAACCACCAACCTAGCTTTACTTCTCTCTACAGATGCAGTTTTAAAAACAGTAGAAATAATATTTTATGAATTGAATTTAAATGTCACAGTTCAAAATCCATGTGTTTATAGATAAAATTGAGAAAAACATTTTGTGGGCTTTAATTTTTATTATTTCTATTAAAATATTGCTCCAGAGAGCATATTAAAATGTCATATTGATTTTTCCTTTTTCTTTTCATCATATTGATTTTGATATGTCAAGTCTTTGTCTTAAAGGGATGTTTTAAACTATATTTAGAACTACACAAATATCAAAATGAATTTCATCAAAGACAGTGCTGGCTTTATAGCAAGTTTACTAATAATTGTGTTACCATTTTTGTCAGAAAGATGACAGTAATGAAAACCATGTTTCACCTTTTATATATATAATTGGATGAGATCACCAGATGCTGATGTTAAGAGCACATCAACAGGAAAAGTTGAAAATGGGAGCTGCATGGAAAAATACCAAAACCAATTAGCTTTGTCAAAAACCATATGACCAAGCATAGGAGAGAAAAATAGGTTTTGACCATGAGCTGACCTCAGGTAACTTAATCATGGGAAGAAACAGCAAGATGGCCCTTCTTAGAGTTTTCTTAGGCATTTGATAATAGACGAAAATACCTTGGAAATTGATACATCATATTCAGTGCTTCAAAACTCAATGTCAGCTTACTTTTATTTTTCTAATATTTTATAATGCTAATTTTGAAACACAGAAAAGTTGAAAAATTATATTGTGAACACATGTGTATGCACAACCTAGATTCTACAATTAACATTTTGGTGTATTTGCTTTACTACATAACTATGTATTCATTCTATTATCCATCCATACTCCATCTTATTATTTTAAGCATTTCAAAGTAAGTTGCATACACCGATAATTTCAGTTCTGAATACTTCAGCATACATATCAACAATAGTTCAACATTTGTTTGTGGTTCTTTTTTGAGATAATATTTAGATACAGTGTACCACTAATCAGTTTGACAATGCATATACTTAAAAACCTTATTAATTGGGCTGGGGTTTTGGCTCAAGAGGTAGAGTGCTCGCCTAGCATGCATGAGGCACTGGGTTCAATCCTCAGCACCACATAAAATAAGATATTGTGTTCACCTATAATTAAAAAATAAATATTAAAAACACCTTATTAATTAAGTAAATTAAATTAAAATTGTAACAAGGTAAAGAATATTACTGTCAATCCACAAACTTTCTTTGTTCCTCTTCATAGTCTAGTCCTGTCCTCATTTCCACACTTAAAAATTACCATTCTCATGATATTTTCATCATAGATTAATTAATTTAGCTTGTTCTAGAACTTAACATAAATGAAAACATACAGTATTTTTTTTTTTGGTTAAAGCTTTTTCTTAACAGTTTTGGTATGTATCTATATATTGTCTATATAAGTAGTTTATTTACATTGGTGAATAGTAGCCACCCTATGAATATATGCTGCAACTTATTTATCCATTCTATTGATGGATACTTGAATTATTATTACCATGGGCTATTAAAGAATAGACTGTTGTGAAAAGACTTGTGTAAATATTTTTGTGGGCATATATTTTTCTTTTGTATAATCCTAGGATTACAATTACAGGATCATAGGATAGATGTATGTTTAGTTTTGTAAGAAACTGCCAAATGTTTTCTGAAAGTGTTTATACCGTTTTATATTTCCACCAAAAAAAAGTCCCAAGAAACCATCCTGAGCATCCTACCAATGCCCAATATTATGAACCTTTTTAAACTATTATGCTCATTTTTAGTGCTCATTTTAATACTTACTTAAAGATACTTACTAATCACTTTGTGAAATGTTTTTTCAATCTCTTTGCCCATTTTTAAGTTGGTATATCCATTCAAATAAATTTACATAAATCTTGAAACTTGTGCCCATTAGATAAAAAGTGAAACACACATATGACCTTATAAGTTGTTCAAAGGAAGTCTAAAAATATTTCAACAAGTTAAAATGAAAGTGGACCTAGGATCTCTTGTTATTTTGTTGAATGTTGCATTTGGATGGTAGAAAGAGGTAGCAGAAGTGTATTCTTCTCAGGTAAGGGAGTAAATGGTATACATTGGTATGGGAAAACCAACATTGCTAACATTACTTTTTTTTTCTTTCCCTTATCCATGCTTCCATATCTCAGCTTCTTCTTCCACATGCTCTCTGATTTAGGGTTAGCTTATAGGTTTCCTGACCCCAACATTTTAGCAAGGTTTGGTCATCAAGAATTGGTTGTATACCTGAAATTCTATCTAAATTTTAAAACCTGTTAGAGATTCTGAATAATGTATGAATTTACATTATCCCTGAGAGAACCATAAGATATGACAAAAACGATGATCTATATTAATAGACCTTCTTTCACAAATGTTTGATTTAACCCTTTGTTAAGGCAAAAGGTGTGATTATTTGTTAAAATATTCTTCAGGCCCATGTTAACAGTTGATCAAGTAGAAAATATATCAAAAATTTGAGATAACATTCAGTAGGATAATGGAAGAGTAATTTTGTATGTAATATTAATTGTTTAATTTTCAATAGAGCTTTTATATATTCTTATTTTATTAGAGAAAGATATAGAGGAACAAATGTGTTACTGGAATCAAAGGCAAGAATCCCTCCCACCCAGAACTGAAATGGCTATTGTAGGTTGGATTTAGTGTACTCTGTAGTTTATCATTACAGAGTGACTAAATGTGAATGGCTTTGCAAGGACTAGGAAGAACATTATTCAGTACAGATTAGAGAGGTGTGTTTGCCAAAAATCTCTACTTGTATTCATTGTGTACAAAATTTAACTGATCTTAGGAGACTTATGTCTTCTCTAAAACAGTGATCTTCATAGGAGTGTGGCATGAGAAGAATAACTCTTGGAGCTGGAGTTGTAGCTTAGTGGTAGAGTGCTTGCCTTGCATGCATGACACACTGGGTTTAATCCTCAGCACCACAAATAAATAAATAAATGAATGAATGAATGAATGAATGAATGAATGAATAAATAAACAAAATAAAGACATTGTGCCTATCTATAACTAAAAAGGAATATTATTAAAAAAGAATAACTCACCCATGTCTCTGTGTAAGTTTTGTTTCTGTTTAATTTATCACACATTTTTGTATGAATAACTGTGTCTCAGGATCTATTTTTATTTTATCTAAAGTAACCACTTCAGCCTGGAGTGATGGTGCTTGCCTGTAATCCCAGCAATTCTGGAGGCTGAGGCAGAAAGATCAAAAGTTTGAGGCCAGTCTCAACAACTTAATGAGATGCTGTCTCAAAATAAAAAAAGGGCTAGGGATGTAGCTTAGTGGTAAAATGCCCCTGTGTTCAATCTTCAGTACCTGCCCCCCCACCACAAAGAAGAAAATAATAAAGTAACCACTTCATCTGTTTTATCTAGAGTAGCCAATTTCTCTCTCTCTCTCTCTCTCTC